TTATTTCTAGGGGTGTTTTTCATTCCTTTCTGTCTGTTTAACATATCCTTTATAGTTCAATTTGCTCTTTCTTTAACTGCCTGACCTGAGGATTGTATGGTATACCTGTATTATACTTTATAGTCTATTAAGCAAAATCTGTTTAATTTTCTAAACAACCTATGCTGGACTGTTGTCTATTTTTACATGTGCAGGTATACCCATGATGGCTGTAACTACTAGTAAATGTATGTTTACCAAGTCAGCCTTTTCTGAACTCAAAGTAGTTGCCCACTGAAAACCTGAATACGTGTAAATGATATGGTGTACATGTTTTAATTTTTTTAATTCTACAAAGTGGAACATATCCATCTGCCAGATTTTATTCGTTTGAATACCCTTTGGGTTACGTCCTGCAGGTAGTGATTTTTGGTTACATAAAGAACAAGTAAGACATCTCCTTATACTCTCCTTAGCTTGTTGTCATGTAATAGAAAAGGAGTTTTTTAAACTTGATCTATTGACATATTTTAATAAAATTCTGAGGCCATCAGCACATTTCCAAAGAATAATTGATCAATTTCTGCATTACTTTGTGCCAGAGGACCTGGTGGAACCATATGGAATTGTATGTGTGTTACATATATGAGGCAAAGTGTATTCCTGATTATATCTTGAGCCTGAATAAATAATGAAGTCAATTCTGTATTATCCAGTATAAATTCAGTGGTTAAAATATGCAAAATAACTCTTTCTGCATATTGCAGAGCAGTAAGTATACTGATGTTCTTTATAATTCCTTAGTACCATGAGAATAGCATGTAATTCTGACTTTTATGCAGAATTATAGTGGCTTTGTTCTACCTTACTTCAATCTACTTTGTAACCTGCCTATCCTGATTTATTTGCATAAGTATAGAATTACAAGCTCCAGTTACTGGTGTGTCACATACAAAGAGAGGAAGGATCCAAGTAGTTATTTTTAAAATTCTATTATTTTGGAATAGTTGCTATTAATATCTCTCAAAATTTTGTACAAAGTCTTTGTCAGGGTTCATTGTCTTCGCATAATTTTTAAAATTTCATCATTAGTAAAAGGTATTATAATCTCTGATGGGTCTATTTCTACTAAATGACAGAGTCTCAATTTTCTTTTTATAATTAATTCAGTGACCTTTTCCACATAATATTTTAAGTTTTTTACTCAGTTTATATGGTAAAAGATTCATTCTAAGATAAGATCTTCCCTCCGCATTAAAATTCCTGTAGGGGGATATATGGAGTGTATATGATCAGAATGCAGTTAAGATTAGGATCTGCCATTGCCAAGAGATGGTGGCGCATCCCTTTAATCCCAGCACTCGGGAGGCAGAGGCATTGGCAAATCCTTTATATCACCAATTCTACTCTTCTACGCTGCGGCTGAGAAGTGCAGTGCAGAAAGTGCAGAGGCAGGCAGATCTCTGTGAGTTCGAGACTAGCCTGGTCTAGAAGAGCTAGTTCCAGGACAGGCTCCAAAGTCACAGAGAAACCCTGTCTCGAAAAAAAAAAAAAAAAAAAAGATTAGGATCCACACAATCCACATGTGCCTCCTGTAATTGCTCTTCAATCAAAGTCAATTTTTTTTTCAGCTTCTGTTTTTAATTCCCCGGGAAGGCCTGCACACACTTGTTGTCTGCATTTATCGTACATGAGATGATGCCCAAGGAAGCACAGGCTACCTCTGTTGCACATACTTTTTGCACCACAGTAGATGGCAGTAGCATCTCTACCCAAGAAATCTCCTGAAGCCCACAGTCTTCCCTCTTCCTCACCCTTTTCTAGGATGGCAAATAGTATAGGAAAATCACATATTCTATCCCACATATGTCCTTCCCCAACTATTTTATTCATCCCTGTCAATATTTCCTGTTTTTATTTTTGACCCTCTCTCTCTGTCTTCCCACATGGCTGAGCTTGCATCACCATCTTCATCACTTATACCCCAACAGAGCCCATCTGTCTGGAGCAAGGTGTTCCCAACTTCTTAAAAAGAATACCATCCTTTCTTTGGTTCAAGGTTATATTTACTTAAATATCTAACATTGTTGAAAAGGTGAAAAGAATAGTAGTTATCTGTAACCACACTGGCCAGAATGGAAGCAACTGTTAGTATCTCACCACAATTTTCCAGAATGTGCCTGGTTTGTTGCCCAACTACTGTATAAAAAGTTCATACTGATTTATTACCCCCTCCCAATTTTTATTTAACAATAGGCACAATTTTTTTTTTTTAAAAAAAGGTGACTCACTAAGTGTGTAAGGGATGATGATATCCTTGCAAAGACTGAATTAAAAGTAGCATACCCAGACTGATTGGAAGATATCCATGAGTCCTGGTAACTACCCTTTGGCCTGCTTGTATCAACTTCAGTGGGAAGATTCAGTCCAGGATTGCTATCAATGCCTTGGAAAGAGCCTTATTTAGGAACCACCACTTGGGTAAAATTGAATCCTTGGCTACACCACAGGAGAATATTTCAGCAAAATTCAAAGAGACAGAGGGGGAAGGTATGTACATCTAAGGTAGGTACTAAACAGAGAGACACACGTGCTTAGGTGTCTTTACGAAAGATACATAAATATTTGTCGCGTGGCTTAAAGGATGTACATAGTGGTATAAGCGTTTAATATCAGCACTCGGTGGTGTCTTTCTCCTGTGGCAGGTACATTGTTTCTCTTCTGATTCTACCTACTCTCCATTTATTTCCTTTCCAGCATGGCTACGTTCTGTTAAGCCATTGACTAAACGCAACTTCATTATTCATTAACCAATCAAAGCAATACATATACACAAAAATTTCCCATGCAGAGGCAGGCAGAACACTGGTTTACATAGTGAGTTCTAGATCAGGCAAGGGTTACTTAAGACCTTGTCTCAAAAAAGAATAAATTAAAACACATACTAAAAATTTAAAACTTAAATATTTAGTACACATTGAAAGTAGAAGTATATTATTTCAAAAAGTATATATAGGGGCTGGAGAGATGGCTCAGAGGTAGGGAACACTGGCTGTTCTTCCAGAGTTCCTGAGTTCAATTCCCAGCAACCACATAATGGCTCATAACCATCTGTAATGAGGTCTGCTGTCCTCTCCATGCATAGAGGTATACATGCAGGAGGAATATTGTATACATGATAAATAAATCTTTAAAAAATCAAAAAGTATATATATATATATAGTTTTATGTAATTAATATTTGCCTGCTTATCTATATATGCACTATGTGTTTGCAGTGCCCTTGGAGGCCAGAAAAGGGCAGTGGGTCTCCTGAATCTGAGTTGTGAGCTGCCCTGTGCATATGGATCCTCTACAAGAACAGTAAGTGCTCTTAACTGTCGAGTCATCCTTCCAGCTTTTATCCCTCACCCTCAAGTATTTCCTTTGTAAATGAAATTGTAAGGTGTATTATTTAGATTTAGAGATGAGTGTGATATGCTAGCATAGTTAAATGCAAGGGACAGACATGCTGGCCCTAATTAAATAGAGTTGTTTATTAATTTGTGGGTAGTTTTTTTGTTAATTTTTTTTCCCCAAGACATGGTTTCTCTGTGTAACCACACCGGCTGTCCAGAAAATTTCTTTGTAGACCAGCCTTGCCTCAAACTCATAGAGATCCATCCGCCTCTGCCTCCTGAGTGCTGGGATTGAAGGCATATACGCCCATTGTCCATTTGATTACTTGATCATTCTGTACATTCTCTTTGTTATATCTTTAGGAAGATGGATACCAAATCTGCAGAAAATCTGCTTTATGTCACTGTCTTGAAGTTTTTGACTCTTGTTGAGTCAGACAAACCAACTAGAACTCAGGGGGTGCAGCTTCTTTCACTTTCCCTGCTTTTAAATTCCCTTTCTCTTTTTAGATTACCTCACTGAGAGTCCCAGAGGAGAGAGGAAGATCCAATATGGCAGACAGAGGGCTTTTGTGGGGTTGTGGTGACTGGCAGTCACCACAGGAGGGCCACACTGATATTTTACATTTAATCCAGTGACTGTACCTCAAGGAACTGTGCTCTCAACCCTGATTTGCAGCACCGCATTTACCAGCAGCAGTTTGGCCCTTGGGCTCCAGCAATGAAGGAATTCTGTTCTCTCAGGTTTTGGCCTCACACTCATGGAGACATGATGTACGGGATGCTATGGAGGCCACTAAGGGTGGCAATTGCTCAGATTTCAATCCTGAGCTAGAACAAGCTCAGAGATGGGCTGGATTTTACACTCAGGGGTTGATTGATTTTTTATGCACACTTACCAAGGGCAAAGCATGTTTATTTTGCTCTAGTTTGAGTGTCAACATGTGTTTATTTCCCCTGCCCTTTTTAATTTTTGGCTCTGTTTTCAGGGTGATAATGTTTCTTTCACTGGTTATAGATTTAGGGACAAAGTGTATTTCTTTGGCTCTGGTTTCAGGACCAGGGTGTGTTTCTTTGACTGGCCCTTTATTCTACCCATAGGGCTTCACAAATTCATGAATTCAGTTTTGTCCATAGGTTTGCTGGTACAAACAAAATAAAAATATCATAAAGCTTGAATAGATTGTTGACACTGTCAATTCATTTTTCTACAGAACAAATGTTGTTGGTTAAATAACTGCATGTTTGCTAAAATCGTAAAACGTAATTTATAACAAAAAGTCCTCAGAATCTTTTTCAGGTATGCAAAAACTACTGTAATATGCAAGTATTACAAGTATATTTATCAGATTGATTGTACACAAAGTTTTACTCCTATATAGGTGAAAAACATTACCATATTGAAATCATTTTATTGAGTTTAATTCCAGTATGACCTTTTTCATGTTTTTGAAGACTACGCTGACTAAATTTATAGTTTTTCTCTAGAATGGTTTATTTTATGTTTTTGGAGATTATTATGACACACAAAGGCCTTACCACACTGAAACCATTCATTAGGTTTCTCTCCAGTATGTGTTCTTTTATGCATTTGAAGATGACAGAGACATGCAAATGCTTTACCTCACAAATTACATGCATACAGTTTCTCTCCAGTATGTGTTTTTTTATGTGTTTGAAGAGTATTGTGATGAGCAAATGCTTTACCACACTGCTTACATTTATAGGGCTTCTCTCCAGTATGTGTTCTTTTATGCATTTGAAGATTACTGAGTCGTGAAAACAATTTACCACACTGATTACATTTATAGGGCTTCTCTCCAGTATGTGTTCTTTCATGCAGTTGAAGATGACTGTTACGAGCAAAGGCCTTACCACACTGATTACATTTGTAGGGTTTCTCTCCAGTATGTGTTCTTTTATGCATTTGAAGATAACTCTGAAATGCAAAGGCCTTACCACACTGATTACATTCATAGGGTTTCTCTCCAGTATGTGTTCTTTTATGCATTTGAAGTTGACCGTGACGTGCAAAGGCCTTACCACACTGATTACATTCATATGGTTTCTCTCCAGTATGTGTTCTTTTATGCATTTGAAGATAACTCTGAAATGCAAAGGCCTTACCACATTCATTACATTCATAGAGTTTCTCTCCAGTATGTGTTCTTTTATGCTTTTGAAGAGCACTTTGACATGAAAAGGTTTTACCGCACTGATTGCATGCATAGGGTTTTTCTCCACTATGTGTTCTTTCATGCAATTGAAGATGACTGTGACGTGCAAAGGCCTTACCACACTGATTACATTTGTAGGGTTTCTCTCCAGTATGTGTTCTTTTATGCATTTGAAGATACCTCTGAAATGCAAAGGCCTTACCACACTGATTACATTCATAGGGTTTCTCTCCAGTATGTGTTCTTTTATGCATTTGAAGATAACGCTGAAATGCAAAGGCCTTACCACACTGATTACATTCATAGGGTTTCTCTCCAGTATGTGATCTTTTATGCCTTTGAAGATAACTGTGCCTGCCAAAGGCCTTACCACATTGATAACCTTCATAGGGTTTCTTTCCATTAAGGGTTCTTTTATGGCTATGAAGACTACTGTCATCAGCAAAGGCTTTACCACACAGATTATATTCATATGGTATCCCTCCAGTATATGTTCCTTTATGACATGGATGAGTCTCATAAAGAACAAAGTCTTTAGCACCTTGAGTGTATTCACAGGGTTTTTCTCCAGTGTATTTCCCTTTATTCACTTGAAGATCACTGTGATGAGCTAAGACTTTTCCACATTGCTTAATTTCATAATGTTGTTCTCCAGCATGTGTATTTTCATTCCTTAGAAGGTGGGTGTCATAAGACCAGGCTTTAGCAGAGTGAGTATATACTGAATTTTTCTCTCCAGTTTGATTTCTTTCAATCCTGCAAGGAAAATTGGCACATATAAAAGCTTTACCACACTCAATACACTGTTGAACCCCATATTTATATGAATAAATTTTATAATTAGTTCCAATTGCAAAGAGGAATCAGGTATTAAGATTTTATAACTTTGTTTAAAATCACTTCATTCTTTCATTAGGGGCCATTTTGCATCTCGAAGAATATGTGTGATTGTAAATTCCTTTGTTTCATGGTTTACTTTTTCACCTTTACAAAAACATTTTATATGACATTTTTTACAATTTTCAAGAGAACTGGATGCAGTGAGAGCATTACCATTTTTACTGCATTCAGAAATATTACTATTCTGTGAATCATATTACACTTGCTAAGTGAACTAGGAGACCCAGGTGAGTTTGCAGAGACCTAGAACTCATGGGGCTTTTTTGTAATGTGAGTTTCTTGATGTATTAATGATGGTAGAAAGCCAATTACTTGTATACTTGAATCAAAATCAACAAGTGTACTCTACATGGGAACAACTGGTTATCTTCTAATTGTTCTTAAGGAGAGATGTGTGAAATCTTTCCATATCCCTTTGCTCATATGCTTGCATCAAGAGTCACATATGATACACATAGTAAAGGAATAATAGTGAATAAAATATTTCCACACTGAATTCTCATGGTTTGACATTCTGTTCTTCACAGACCTGTGGTATACATATTAAGGTTTCTCCACAACAACTGCCCCTTGACCCTTGACTCTAATGCTGCTTTCACTAAACTTAGCACAATCCCAAAAAGTATATGAGTAATATAAGACTTACTATGGGATTTTGATTTAGTAGAAAGTTTTGCAGATACACTTATCAACACTGAAATATGTATACTTTTTGTTTCATGAATAGCAAGAAATAAATGATTGGAAGATCTACTTTAGCTTTCATGGTGCTATGATTCAAATGATAATATCTGTTTAGGCATTGATTTCTAGACTTCTTTCTTAAATGAATGCCTTGCAAATACATTTCACATACATGGAATTGAGGTATATGGATTTGTGAGAAATTAATAACCATCAATGCATATAAAGCTGTGCTTCTTTATACTGTTGCTTTTGATTAATTGTTCCAGGACACATTACAATCTCATCAGAGGCACACTGTTATCAATGTTCACAACAAAATTACCTTGCAGGTCTTCTACAACATTGACAATGTTCTTTAGTGTTGTTGTCTTCCCAAATGTATCCTAAAATACAGTACCAAGATATGAATGTTATATTATTTAACATTGTGTAACATTTAGCTTATTATCTTAAGTGAACCTAAGAACTATTGACTGCATTATTTACTTTCTTCTTCTTCTTTCTAAATCAAAGTATAGAATATCATTAACCAAGGAAAAGTTGTCTTCATATTTTAAAACATGAAAGAAATTTATTTTTACCAATAGTAGTGAGGTTCCTGTAGGTCTCCAGCATCACATCTTTGTAGAGATTCTTCTGGGAAGGATCCAGCAAATCCCACTCTTCCTGAGTGAAGTTGATATGCACATCATCATATGTCACGGCCCAGTGACAACATTGGAGATACATACTTCTTTGACAGTATGGTCATATGATTCTGGTGTTCCCCACTCTTATTCCATGACATAGACAATCACTTTAGAAGGAAATTGAAAAGGAGAGTCAATTCTGTCATTCCTCTACACTTTGAATGGGATTTCACCTTATAAGAGCAATGTTTATTAACAAGGAGAGACAAGGAGAAAGATCAACAATACCGAGAAAAGTGTATGAAAAATGACAGACTGCCAAAAAAAAAAAAAAAACGATGGACAAACTGGGTGTACTGTGCCTTTAGCCAAAATACTCAGAAAACAGAGGTGGGTATATTTGTCTCTGAGTGGAATGCCAGTCAAGTCTATGCAATCAGGTTCAGGATAGGTGGAAGTACACATTAAGACCCTGTCTCCATTGCAAAATTAAGTGAAAGAATGGGATAGAAAGAACTGAAAGGCACTTATTGAAGTTCCTACCAAGAGTTTTGCTTTCACTCCAGTTCTGTATTCATCTTTCAGACCCCTGAAGTACCATAATTGAAACTACAATACTAGTAACATTTTCTAGAAAGGAACTGTCTGTTTAAAAAAAGTTACAAATGGACAGATGAAAACAAATAGAAATATAAATGTTGGTCATAAATAACCAACACAGAGCTGGAGAGAGGGAAGAATAATACAGCACTCTTGCATGTCTTGAATGGGGTGGACACATTTGCCAGTACTTACATGGGGTTCACAACTTTCCATTTTTCCATGTTCAGGATTTATGAGACCCTTGGATCACTCTGATGACCAGGTACCCATGAGGTGCATATCCATGCAGACATATAAAATAGTCATATTGATTTAAAAAAAAAATCAAAGCAAGTATAACAATCATGAAAAATTTCATTCAACTACAATTTAATGACTCAGAATACTCAGGCAGTATTAATGTTATGAATATATGGCACCCTGGGAATCAGAGTGATATTCTCTGTCAAATTTTAAAATTCAAGATAAGCATGAAGCAAAGCATAACAGCTTATATTTGACATGAAAAAAAAAAACCTACATTCCAGGGACATCATCCAATAACATAAAACCAAATAGAGACAAGAATGATGCCCCTCCCTTTTCATTCAGGAATTTGTAGCCACACAGCAAAAACTACTTAGATAAGCAAACAAAACAATTAAAGCAGCAGGTTACCAAACCCCTTAGCACTGAATACCAACTGTTTCTGCTACATCTTATGTTACTTAGAGATCAAGATTATAATGATGGTAAAAGTATTTCAGTAGTAAGGTAGGAAGTTCGCTGATTAATGTCAAGCACAACACAGTGAATATAAATATCAGGAAATTACTTTAGGGATTGAAACTGATCACATACAATGAGGAATTTCATCTAGAAAGGCTTCTCCTACTAAAGATTCACCAAAATTGAGAGAAAACCACCAAGGAGAGAAACTTGTTCAAATACATGATCATTTCTAGGAGGTTATTCATTCGGTCAAGTACATTCTGAACCCAGTCACTATTGGTTCATTGTCAACATGCATTTAGAAACTTCAATGATTCACATTTAATGATTCTTGGAAAAAACACTTAAAAGAAATCCAACACTAGCTCAGAACTGAGAAATAAATGTTTATTTATATAGGAGTAGACTCATAAATCAGAATCCTCTGCTTGTACGGAGATCAGAAACCAAATTTCATAGCTGGAAAAGAGAGGCTGGATGCATGCTCTACAGCGACATATATAGTATAAGAGTTCACACCCCAGTGGGCAGATAACCACTGGCTGTAGACTTCCTACAGCACCTCCCCTCTTGTTTAAATTAGAGAGTTGTAAGCCTAATACAAAATTATATACAATAAGAACAAATATATTCAATAATTATTCTATCCTAACTAATTTAAGTCTTGTATAATAAATAACTTCGTCCAGTCATGAGAGGAAAGTAACTACTACTATCTGGTCTTCAACCCCATTTGAAGATCTAAGAAGGAAAATATATTACTTGAGTAAGCAAGAAGTGCAATCAAGTAAATTTCAAAATGTGCAACAAATGACAGAGACAACTGGCTACGTGAGCAATCACCCAAAGTCTCATTTGCAATGTTGAAGCAGACAACATTGGCTAAGGGCCAGAATAACTGACAGACCATTTTCAGAGGCAGAAAAATTTTCACAACTGTCTTACCCTGTTTTGCAAGATTTGACAGACCTGCTTATCCATTTTTAGATACCATTTATCTTGTCAGCGGTTGATGCATGGACATTTCTTTACCCAGAGGCCAGTTTTGTCAAGAAGAAAATAAGCTCTAAGTGGGAGTGTCTTCGACGTTCAACAATCTCTCGCGAATAGATGGGTGCTACCAGGAGCAATAGTGTTTCACTTCAACAGAATCCTAAGTTATTTAAATGCCATATTCTACAGGTCATTGAAGTGACTGAAGATTCCCTATCTATGTATCTAAACAACCTGCTTAGTCTAACTATAAGTATGACAAACATAGAGAACTATTGATCTATAATTCTCAATACCTATATAATTTAAAGACTAAGACTTCATATTAGAATATTATACAATAAACAACTGTGCAACAAATGAAGACAATAACCTCAAAATGTAAACAATGTGTAAGTAACTTGATCAGAGGTAGAAATGCACGTTGCAATGTGATAAATATATATCAATATATAAAAAGTGTTTTAAGCAGAGGTAGAAGCATGCATGCATATCATATTCAATATAATTTAACTATGTGTCAATATACAAGAATCCATACCACTGCAATTACCTATAAATAATAACTCACAAGTATTCACTCTATTACTCACTATTATTATTAGTGTGAGTAAGCTCATACTAATCTATTATCCCATCCAATTCCCTCCTTTTTTTCAAAGAGATTCCTGAGCTGATAAAATTCCCCAGCAAACCCCAACACTATACCAATTATAATGAACCCCAAAATGATATCCCTAACCCGAGGACAAACTTTGTTGGGAAAGGGGACATCATCTTCTAGAATTCCTTCCAGGGGCTGGAGAGATGGCTCAGTGGTTAAGAGCACTGGTTGCTCTTCCAAAGGTCCTGAGTTCAGTTCCCAGCAACCACATGGTGGCTCACAACCATCTGTAATGAGATCTGGCGCCCTCTTCTGGCATGCGGGCATACATGGAGGCAGAATGTTGTCTACATAATAAATAAATAAAATCTTAAAAAAAAATAGAATTTCTTCCAGCTGTCATGGGGATGATGTTCTTTCTATGGGATCCTATGAAAGTAAAATGATGGATACTTCCAAGATTACTGTCTAGTATAATTGCAAAGAGTCTCTGAGCATTTGGTAGGGTTTTTTTGAGCTTTCTATTTCGAACTCTGGCCAGAATATTGTAAAAAGTACACCATTTCAGCTAAGCAAGTTGGAATCAAATTGAGCAGTTGGTACACAAAACAGGTCTTGTAGTAGCACTATCAGCATTATGAAGTCCTATCAACTAGTTGGAGCTGTTGTTGTGGGTCCCCATCTTTTTCCTGGAAACTTCAAAGATTACTGCAGGAAAATTCATTGTTCAGGGTGTAAAATTTAAACATTATTTATATAGACATATATATTCAATTAAATGTATGATAGAAACAAAATAAATACAAAAAAAGTAAGATGTTCTCTAAATTATTTTTTTCCATCCCATATCATGGCTCCTGACATGAGATAGAAATTCTGAATTTTTATTTTAACAACATGCTTGGAGTTAGAGAGGGACAGAACCAGTGTCCAACTCCAAAGCTAGCTCCATATACATATACATACATATATATATATGTTATATATCTGTTCTTAGGAGTCATATTTGTCTTTCTGTTGATCCTTATTGAATAATTATTTTTTTCTTCTGTCAGAATCCAAACATTTAGGGTCTCTTGAATTTTTGAAGATGAGTATTTGTCTGCAAAGACAAGAACTGAACACTACCCCAACCCTTTTGAGGTTTCCTTACTATCTGTATGGTTGTCACCATTGTGGGTGAGCTGTCATTTCTCTTTTTTCAGGAGTTTTTTTCTTTTGCAAACTGAATATTTATTAATATTGATGGTATCCATAATTTTCCTTCTCCTGTGGAAACAAGAGCAAAAACCTTTCCCCAACATAACACAAATCCAGTCCTTCCATGGTAAGGTTAACTTATCCTTGAAATAAAACGGTTGATTTAATTCAGAATACTGTTCTATTATCCAATGTCTCTCTGCTGTTGTTGTCCCTTTTTCATTAGCGTTAAAATAATTAAACGTTAATAAAGTATAATCTAATCTATTTCTGAGAGCATTTTCCACCCTTTCTGATGGTTTAACATATCCTTTATAGTTTGATTTGATCTCTGTATACCTGCCTGACCTGTAGGATTGTGTGGTATACCTGCAATATGCTTGATATTAAAATAAGCAAACAACTATTTCATTTTCCTAGAGACAGTTTCTGGACCATTATCTGTCTTTCTTTGTGCAGGTATACCATAATGGCCATAACTTCTAATAAATTTGTGATTACTGAATCATCCTTTTCTGATTTTAAAGCAGTTGCCCACTGAAAACCTGAATAAGGCTAAGAACGGATAGGACATGTTATATACTTTGTCAATATATATCACCTGTAACGATTCAGAGTTTCTTTACTGATAAAATCTGATCAATATGAACCTAGGTCAAGTCCACATCCTCTTGTTTCCCATGAAACCAAAAGCAAAATCTCTTCTCCAAAACATTTTTTGTGGTTTTTCAAGACAGGGTTTCTCTGTAGCTTTAGAGTCTGTCCTGAAACTAGCCCTTGTCAACCATGCTGACCTCGAACTCACAGAGATCCACCTGCCTCTACCTCCCAAGTTCTGGAATTGAAGGAGTGTGCCACCTCTGCCCAGCTTCCAAAGTATTTTGGATTTCCATTTGACAAACACATTTTTGACTTCCTTTTTAAAGTTAAGATAAACCTAAAGTGTCAAGGTGGGTTGAATTTTGCAGTCATCCTAGCTCAAGAACCAC